TGACATAGATGTATAACATAGTCTGGAAGAACACATAGGCTACTTATTAAGTTTCTTTTTAATACCGCACGAACGGAGTCGGGCCTCAGCTAGTAAAACCTGATTCACTTTAAAGTGTTGCAAAACAATTATTAAACTAGTTGTCGTCCGCAATTCCGCCCGAGCGGAATTAAAAAAAATAATAATTTGTAGCCTATGTGTTTTTCTAGACTACGTTCTACATCTATGCCAAATTACAGAGAGATCCGTTGAGCCGTACCCTAGATACCTTCAAACAAACATTCATTCCTTCACCTAAACATTCGCATTTATAATATTAATAAGTAACATTAGTTCTCTAAAACAATATTTTCACATCAAGGTTGTGTTAATCACACAATTCCTAAATAAAGTAAGTAAACAATGTAATCAAAAGCCCATTTTACTATCTATTGCTCTGACGTCAATGTGACTGATAACACAGGCGCCATCTACTTTACTCCTGATTCAACCAATGATATCTCTAAGAACCTTGACACTAACTATAGGTCTATTGGTTCATTTCAAAGGTCCAACTTGTATTGCTAATGGATATGTCGTAATTTGACCTTAGGTTTAAAACAAAATGGTTAATGGTTTAAGTAACATTTTACTCTATCTTAGCAATTTTAACTCTTCATTTAACTTGCGCAAGAGTAGATATAAGTTTCTCTTAATAATGGTGAAGCTTTTACAAAACCTAGCGTTAGCTCATGTATCCAATTAATCAGATTAAAAAGTAAATGTTAAGATTAAAATTGTCTCATTGATGATCTAATTGTGGGTTTCTGAGAAAATCTGCGTTTAAAACATATTCTTATTACTGTTTTGTCAAAGATAATTTCAGCGATGACGACATGTTTTGTATAGAGACTTTGGTTTTAGAAACCAACAGTAAAAGCGCTTATTCACTTTCCACTTAAAATCTGCAACTCTAAAATTATATTGACATGGCAATTTTATTTCAGTCCATTTCCATTTTAAGAGGTTCATGATAAGTGCACTTGAACGCCAGAGAGAGCATCATGGATGAAAAATCACTTTTTTAAATTTAGAAGCATATATTTTTTAATCACAAAACAAATATAAAAAATATCGCAGGTCAGTACGTTAGATTTTAGGTGAGAGTTTTGTTAACGCATAACTTACAGGAAAACCCGAGAATACATGTGAAGCGTAGTCTGAAGTGTAGTTTTTTTTTATATATCATAAGGTGGCAAACAAGCGAACCACCTGAAATCGCTGATATAGCGAAGTGACCGTTGCCCATAGACATACGCAATTGCATATGCGTTGCCTACCTTTAATCGACAGAGAAGAGGATGCACTGAAAGAAAATATCATCCCTTTCCATGCATCCTCTCATCCGGAAATTCCACTTCCACTTCCCATCCTTTCCTTATAAGGAAAAAGGTGGGAAGGGATAGAGGACTAAATTACGCCTCCGGGATGCACACTCATCAGACGAATCGCGGAATCGCTTCCACTTCACGCCTGTCTTCTGTGTGGTCGTGGTATTTCACCGGGCGAGCCGGGCCAATTCGTGCGAAGATGTCAAAGCGGGATATACCACTGTTAATTTAAGTTTAAAGTTTTACGTCCAAGGTTAGAACTATGCGTAGCCCAAAGTCATCTTAACATCGTATAAACATTTGAACAAACACATAATTAATGCAAATGTAAATTTGAAAGCCTCAAAACATTCAAATCCTTACATCATAATTCTCGTCATTAGTCCGGCTATCACGCGACCAGTCAAATAGCCATCACATCACCTTCATTAGGTGAAAGTTTTACATTATGCAATGTCCGTGCCGTCCATCAAACTGAATTAACATCATAATCTTTCAAATTCAATCTATCAACACCCGCCTTTGATGTTCGAGATTCCCTTCACACTCAATTTTATACTCTATTGGCACACAATAAAGTATATAATAAGTATGGTAGTATTGATAACAAATTCGACTACTGTTCAAAACCGGTAGAACTTTATTGGACTGCAATCTTGATTATTTTTCTCGTAGCGATCGTGCACCAGAGATTTAAAGATCGAAACATTACAGTGAACTTTTTACATTACGTCATTGATATTAAAAATATAATAAAAAAATCCATTTTTATTTATTAAAAATTTTACTTTGCGAACCTTTATTTAATTTTTTCAAAATAGTTCACACGACCTTTTGTTTTTTCACTGTCAAATTTAATTAAATACACAAAAAGAATCGAGAAGAGGAAGACGAAGTTATTAACATTTAATGAACAACAAAAAGTATACATTTACTTCAACATACGATCGTAGTTGGTATAAAAAATATCGATATCAAAGAACATCACTATTTTCAATCAACTCTACTAGTGACGTATCTCGAGGACTATCGACATAAAATTTAAAATTTACGTCGCCCTCGACACCGGCTATGAAATGCGACCGCAAATTTCTCGTCATATCAGTTTCCGCATTTCAATGTTACGCATGCGAACAGAAGCGCGTCGTGTCAACGAACTATACTGATTGATTTATAATCAATTTATTACTACTAGGGTTGGCACTCTATTAAAATTAAATTAAAATTATAATTGAAAAAAAATCTTAGTACGCTGTTTCCGAAACACCCAAACTTTTTTAAATTTAGAATTTTATTCGTTAAAGGCAGTTGTTGTGTGTGTACATTTTCTTACCGTGGGTTCCCGAGAACCACACCCCCGATTAAAACACATTATCTCTGTGTTAAAAGATAATACCAGGAACAACGATATGTTTTATACGTTTTTAACGATAGATTTGGGTCTCAGAAACCAACGATTGAACAACCGATGATGCATACGTTCCCGATGCTTAAAATAATGAATAAATAAACAATTTTCTCAGCATCACTCCACACAAGTTTCTAAGATCGTGTTTACACTCTCGTTCGTTTTAATTTGGTACATTGACACTCAAAAACTTGTTTATTATAATTTTAAAGCATGAACATGTTAATGTCCTTGAATATTTAAGCTAATAAATACATTAATATTGTCCATCTCTATCTATACATAGCCTTGCAATGTAGCTCCAACTATCCTATCCAGCTCTAGGGGTTTTTTAATCGAAAACTTTCTTTTCATTGTATACTTCTTACCTTACTTCTTACTAATATTATAAATGCGAAAGTTGAGATAGATGGATGTCGGATCTCGATGAAATTTGGCATGCATATAGAACATAGTCTGGAAGAACACGTAGGCTACACATAAAGTTTTTTTTTAAACGACGCAGTCTGACGACAGCTAGTCTTAAATTAAAACAATTTACTTGTGAAATTGTTCCACAATTCACGCAAAACAAATACCATTCCACATTAGAATCATGACTAAATTTAATTGATTATATTTCAACAAACATACGTTATTCTTAACTTTTCTTAAGTAACAAAACTCCATAAATGTTAACAACAATATGACCAGTATGCAAACGGCTTATTGCAGTACTCTCACCAAGGTAACTTTAACGGGTTAATATCGATTGTTGACTACATTGAGCAACTGTAATAAATAATATTATTAATGACAACAATTATAAAGCTTTGTTCACACTAGATGTAAAAATTAAATCTATAGGAGCACTAAATTAATTCCAAACACGTGGCATACTGGCCAGGACCTTTGCCTTTTTAGTTATAAAAAATATAGATGAAAGAGAATCGCGCGGGAAGTGATAACAATTAAGCTTAACACAAGAGACGATGGAAAATCAAGAGGAAGATAAAGATTGACACAATACTATCCGGAATTGGATAAAGTACCAAAGTAAAACAAACGAATAGAGAATATTGCAAAGACAAAATTAATCCTCTTTACTTATGGAGACTTGAACAATACCAGAAAATTAAAATAAAAATTTTGCTTCTATCACAATACTGCGAAGTAATTATTATGTTCCAGATTTAAAATCATTGTAAGTTATTTAAATATCCTCGTTCGTATCTAGGTTCCATTCAAAATGAGGATAGTAAAAAACACAAAAAAATTCTTATATATATATATATATATATATAAGAACTATACACTATATATATATAAAAGAAAGTATTTTTATATATAATAAAGCTGAAAAGGAAAAAGTGTTAAAATACCTAGATTTGGCTCACGAGGTTACCGCCATGTGGCGTACGAAATCGACTACCATTTATTTATATATATATATATATATATATATATATATATATATATATATTATATAATAACCAAAGCTAATGTATCAAATTTAGAAAAACCTTATATGTTTAGGTGAAGGTTTAACTTGATAATTAATGAGCAAGTTTCAGATAAAGTAGATTTCGTTGTAGTCGTCAATCACAGCTAACTTTTCAAGGCAAACTTTTATTACAACTTGGATAATTTAACCTAAAGAAAAAAAACAAAACTTGTTTGACTTTTGTGATAATTGACAACTTCAGCCATAATTATCTATTTTGCTATAATATTTAAGTATATTTCAGCTAAATTATTGTACCATAAAAATTGCTAAGATTCTGTAATTTCGGCGGAAACACACGTCTATTGTATTGGGTCTAATTAAATAAATGAACAGTGAGAAAACTGTGTGAAAGAGTTTAGAAACTTGGCAAGTTACGCAACCTTACACGGCCGCTAGAAATCGTAAAGTTCTAATTGCTATATTTAAATTTGAACTAATGACGTCAGTCATTGTGATGTATACGCGAACAAACACGCGGCTACGTCATCCAATTTTCTATGAGAAGGAATTACCAATTCTTGCTGAAGTTTGCTTGACATAATACCTTTATATTCTCTGCCGCATTTATCGTAGGACTTTTTTAAGGCAAAATCAAATCGAGAGTTAAATTCGTCAAATTGTCACCAATATTTTCACATCACAACACTGTTTGTACATGGTGACCTTCGGAAACCTTAGGTTGCTGCATCAAAAATATGTGGTACCTAATAGGCTAATATTACTGTTTAGTACTCACCACCAGCTCAGCGAACTTGGCGTCGAGCTCGTCCTGCGGTGGCATTGGATGCGTCGGCGTGACGGCGTGCAGAGCCAGTGCTCCTTCGCCCCCCACCACGCAGTAGGTGATCTCTGGCGGCTCGTCATTCTGCAAAGAATAAATAAATTACAATCCATTCTACTATATTTCTGATACTCAGACTTCTAAGTTGTAGCGCCATATATCCAAAAAAGAAGGAATAATTATCAGTTAAAGTCTGTGAAGCACTACAACCGATTAGAAAATAGCCGTGATGCAGAAATGTACCGAAAGTTTTGTGCTTCCATTTTCATCTTTTCTTACTGTCTCTTTCTTATAATTCAATTGATATGTAATTCTAATTAAGCAAAATTACAACAAATCTTAAGATATTCCACAAATTAACGCCATTATAAATAATCTTCTTCATCAGTTTCCTCTGTCTGTGTATTAAATTTATCTATATATATAAAAGAAAGTGGTGTTAGTTACACTATTTATAACTCAAGAACGGCTTTACCGATATAGCTGAAAATTGGTGAGGAGGTAGCTTAGACCCAGGAGACGGACATATGACACTATTTATTCATTTTTTTCCGAGTTTATGCCTTAAAGAGCTGCTTTTTATTCAACTTACCAATATTAAAAATGCGAATGCTTAGATGGATGTGATGTGGATGGATGGATGTTTGAAGATATCTCTAGAACGACTGAACGGATCTCGATTAAATTTGGCATACGTATAGAACATAGTCTGATAGAACTCATAGGCTACACAAATTAAGTTTTTTTAATGCCACGCTGACGGAGTCGCGGGCGACAGCGAGTACCAAATATAATAAAAAAATCAAGTTAACTTGATCGTCCAAAAAGGTATGTTTTTAATTTTGGTGACTGCAAATCTACATACAATAGCAATATATTGTTACACGTTGTGAAAATAATGTACAAAAAGCAATTACAATTGAGTTTTGGGAACAAAAAAAAAACTTCACATGAATCATGTGGACTGGAGGTAAAATACGAAGAATTTAATGTCTTTGCGAGATTCGATGTTAAGACATAAATCAGTGTCGATGATAATTTGTTCGAAGACATTTTCATTTTTATTGTGACCATATTTATATCTTATTTAAAGAATTATTAAATTCAACCTTTTTTGTATACTAAATTTCCAGAAATATCAAAATATTTACCAAAAACTCGACTTAAAAATCACAGTTTGTTTATTATTCTTTCAGATTTGACTTTTATTAGATTACTCGTTTTTCACTTAACGAAGTTAAGTAACGTTGCCAAAAAACTAAGTGACTAGCTATCGCTTGCATCACCGTCCTCCCGCGTAATTAAAAAAAACTTAATTAGTAGCATATGTCTACTTCCAGACTGTGTTAAACTCCATGACAATGCAGCAAGATCCATGCAGCCGATCTGGAGATATCTTCTAACATCCATGCATCCATCCAAACATTATTATACATAAAATTAGTAAGATAAACAAGCAAACTAAATTATAAACAAAGTTAGAGCAAAATTTAAGAATTATCGAATATATAAAAATCAAATGCTGTTCGTTTCGTCTCGCTAAAACTCGAGAACGACTGAATGGATTCCACGCGGACGGAGTTGCGGGCGGCAGCTAGTGACAATAATATAGACATACATACACCAGCATTACGAGACTTTAGTATCATCTATTGCATGTTTTCTATACTGACTATTGCTAAAATAAACAATAATATTTATAATATAAACAGTGAAATCATTATTATGAAAGAAAATAACAAAATGAAAACACCGTGAATGCATATCAACTTCACAATTCCTATGTATTCACACGAGGACAGAACACCGAAGTAATGCAGAAAGACAGACCAGTACTCTTATTATTTGAACGCACACTTACATGAATACAGTACTGTTTTGTCTTGGCTTTGAAACAATAGCACTGCTCTATTGTACCGCCTTACATTTCTGTCCCCCACGTAAAACTAGCATAACGTTCCAAGTATGTACGGATAGACACAACTGCTTTGGTGACGTGACTATTCATAATCGGTTGTAAGAACTAGACCTGTCTACGGAACCTTGTTTGAATATATAATAAAATACAACAGACTCTCAAGAATAAAAATATATGTAGAAGAGTTTATCACCAGATTTACCATAATGACAACTCAATTAAAAACCAATAAATCCAACTGATTGTTTTTCCTACAACAAGAAATCTAACTAATATTATAAATGACAAAGTTTAGATGGATGGATGTATGTACGGTTGGATGGATGTTTGTATAAGCCCCTTCACCAAGATCACTTGAGCCGTTCCGGATAAACGAAACGGCTTCAGGGGTCTTGGTGAAATTTGGCACAGATGTAGAACATAGTCTGGAAGAACACATAGACTACTTACTTAGTTTTTTTTCATTACTGCTGGTACGTTATATCGACACCAGAGATAAAAGAAAAGAATTTAAAAAAAGAACAGAAGGAAATAAAAGTAAAGACAACAGATAAATTATTAAAAGTAACTCATTGCTATGATTCATGAGGTGTCCCAAATAGGTAGTCAATTAAAAACCGATTATTCCACGAGACCGGTTGCGCTTTCGTTTTATCCATAATGTCTTGTAGTACATGTTAACACATTGTCATCGTTAATTAAAAAGTCTGAAAAAGCCTTGCTCAAAACGATATGTCTACATCTTCATCGGAAAGATTTACGAACAAAATATTACAAGCCAGATATATTCTTGGCTTTTTAATATTTTTTACTAACAAAGGCATTTAGAATCCACCTAACTCACAGCTTTCGTGAGCCATCTTAATTAGTGTAAGCCCTCAATTTTCTACTACTCAAATAAACTAACTAAATCGTCTTTTATACAGGGACTCCTTAATCTGATGCTTAATTAAAGGACAACACCCAGAGAAATTTTACTTAGTAAAAATTTGAATACAAATTCAAAGTGTAATGATAGGTGTTTCTTTATATCCTCATTGTTATATTAAGCTAATGTAAAACTTTATAACAATCAGTCTAGCATCAAATTAGTTTCATACATGTTGAGTCACCGAGGTTAACGTAACAAGAGAAGCATTGGATTTGTTTCATACATTTCAGACGTCGTACAAATTCATTAAATGGATTCATTTCCTTAGGGTTGATGATCAAACGTAATACCAATATCCAAAAAAAATATTCTTACATATGTACCCAATTGCATATATCGACTAAAATCATCGCTAAGAAATATTACTAATCAGAAGATAATATCCGGAGAGAAAATACATATCAATACCAATAAATATAAATACATATATCCTTCTGGGGCAATTTTGTAACCAATGACCTACAAATATTGCTACATTTAAAAAAAAAGCTATTATGTTATCGTCAATAACCCTTTATCAATATGAAATAAAAGAAACAATACAACTAACAAAGATTTTAAAGAAAATTAAAATTGCCCCAGAAGGGAATTTTTATTTTATTTTTCTGGTGACCCTTGTGACCACCCCTATCATCCCCCTTCCTATGTACGTAACCTTTTGGGACACCCTGTATAAACACGGCTAAACACTCACGAGCGACGGGCCGCGGTCGCGAAATAATACCAGTACCACTCATCCTGATGTAGGGCCCCCGATGGGCTCGAAACTAGTCGGTGCCGCCACCGGACGAATATACGTGTGTGTTTAGCCGTGTTTATATATCAGTTTAAAATGTAATTCTCTAGAAACTTTTAATGCAACGAATGAATTGAGTTTCAGAAAACAATTGAAACAAACCAAGTAAAAGGTAACCTTGTAAATAAAATATGGACATTAGCCTTAACATTGATTGCAGAGAAAACATCACCACGACAAATATCCTTGGAAGTAATTAAACATTACGATGAATGTACAAACACAATAATGAGTTCATTAAGATCATAATATTTAAACAAAGAACAATGGAATATTTAATTGTGTGTACACGATGAATGATTGTTATAAAATAAGAACCTTTCCTTTCTATATTATCGGAACGCGGCAGTTATAAACACATCGAAAACACCCTTATAGTATTGTCTTTTTAAAAGTATAAGCTATCCAAGTGTTGACGGTTCCTTGACTTAATAATAATAACAATCCTTTTTTCCAATGTCTAAACTATAATATCCTTGGTGAACTTTTCTTTTAGTTCCATTAGATTTACCAACTGCTACATTTACGATTTAACCGTGCATTTCTACTGCGAGAAGATTGACATAATATTTTTCGTATTTTTACACATACGAATAAAGAAATTCAGAGTTGGAGTAAGCTTTCTCTATAATTAACCATAAAACAAGTTACCAACGCATTTCCTTAAATGATAGTAAAAGGCAAAGGCAAATTTAGTTAAAAACATATGACGTACATTTCGCCAAAATATACCATTGGTACATAATAGTGATCTTACTAATATCATAAAAAGATTGGATGAATTAGGATGAAATTTAGCAACAAAAATATTTAATTCCAGGAAGACAAAGTCACTAACAGATATAATTCTCAAAAACGTATGCAGTAGCAACCCTAAAGAGAATCGTCTACGGACATCTTTGTATTTTCGTCGATGACTTCACCGGGAGGACATCCCGAATGCGTAGTTTTATTGATGCTGTCTATAGACGCATTTAAAAGCTACATTTAGACCATATTAGAAAAGGAATCGGAAGCTTTATTTTGATATAAAACTATCCACCCTCCTTTTACATGTGTTTTAAAAATAGAAAGAAAAGTTTACTGGCCGTTAAGATATTATTGAAGTTAAGATAAACAATATAATAGGAAAAAACAAACAAAAAAATTCATAGAAGAATTAAAAAGTTAAGTAACTTATAATTCCAAAAAAATAGATAAACCAACAAAAATAAAATTGAGAATGAAAATTAAGTGAACGCATAAATTATAGTAAAACTAATTTTGAAAGAATAAAGGGAAAACTACACGTATTGTATTTAAGGAAAGATATATTCAGAGAAGAATTTAACAGAACATAAAAGTATATCAACTCACTTGTGGCTTAGGTTTGTGCGATTTGATTTTAATAGAAAATATACTATACTTCTTCATAGTATGAGTATAAAACGGACTCATAGTTGTCGCATAAGTACGAGTTAAAGTATTAGTATGAAACATTTTCCATAACTACAATCAAATCACACTAAATCCTTCACTTGTGTCTCACTAAACAAGAATATTTTTTTTTATTTCACTTCAAACACGGGTGACACACGGCCAGTTACATTCGCGAACAATAATTACTAAAGGGCACTACTGTTAGTTACTATAGACTTTAATTAATTGACCCGAGGATGGACGTCAAGCGATGCGTCTCAATCAAGAAGTCGAGCTACGTCTGACTAACATGCACTCCCCCCTCTTATGACCATTGTCCGTTATTAGATTAACAATTAAACGTTAGTTAATTGATATATCGATTTATGAATAGCTCCGGAATTCATTGTTTACAACTGAGGCGAACGATACGATAACATTCTTTTGTTTATGAGTTATGTACACTGGAAGAACCCTGACGATTACTAGATAATTAACGAGGTGAACGGCGCAAAGTACAGAAGCACTCTAGATTATATGTTTTGTAATAATGATGTTCTGTCTGTCTTTAGCTACTCTGTGTATAAATGGTGACAGTTTGTGACATAACTAACCGTAGTTTTCTGAGACCAAAATCCCCAGTTAAAACATATTGATCTCAGACTCCATCGCTTAGTAATAGGAAATGGTGCAAAAAGAGAATAAGGGTTCTTTTTATTTCTACCAAGTTTTCAAATTGGGGTTTTGATAGTTTTGTGCATGAATTTATATTCATGACATTATAAATATCAGTAGAAATAAAGATCTTTTGCAAAATATTTCTCCTAAGTTTCAATACTATAGACCAACGACCTTTCCTAAATGCCAGACATATTCTTAAAACTGTAGAAATCTTGACCTTACAAAATTTATAATAACCATAATGTCAAGGTTAATAATACAATTGTAATCCAAATATCAAAAGTTGTAGACATTACTATAAATAATTCTTCAGTACACTTAAAAAAAATAAGTGTCAATTTGTGTTCGTTCAATAAAATTGCAAGAAAATAAATGCAACATAACCGACATAATTTTTTTTTTTTTGAAATTTCTATATATTTTTATTTAAGATTTCTCCCACGAATTAAAGCTTATTTACTCAATATAAAGCCCTATTTTTGACCATAATTACATGTCAAACTTTACAAAAATACATACACACAAACGCCTGTCACACATCAAAGTTTAATACAACGAGCTCTCATACAACACAAAATGTGTCGTGACACGTGTCAACCCTTACTAATTTCACACGAGGGAAGAACAGTAGTCAGAACAGCACTGCTATTATTAACACTTCCGTAAAAACGGTACAGTTCTATCTGATAGTGTGCGTCCAAACCATAGCAGCACTGATCTATTCAACTACTCTGCCAGCGGTTACCGCTGTCCTCGTGTGAAATAACCATTATGGTCTTTGTTTGTTTTGTTTCGAGAACAATTGAGATTCGATTTGAGGTCCCATTGTTGATGCTTCATTTGTCCCCTCACTCGAGTCTAGACAAACATATTGTGCGTGGGGGACATTCAAACCCAGCTTATCTTGAACAAATTTATAAAATAGTGGCACAAAATATTTTTGTTATAATATTATTAAAAATTTTAGTTTCGTTTTGTCCTGGTATAACCATACTACAAAACCCAATAAAATATCAAGCATTCAAACTATTCGGTTATTACTTTGGTACTGGTTGTACGTAATTCGTAGTATCGTGTTGATGAGGAATGGTGTGAACGCCTCTCGATAACACTACATACTTCACTAACGAGCCAAAGGAAGTAGGGATGTGTTAGATAAGCACTTTATCGACCTTTTCATAATTAAAATGCGTTCTGTGAATATAAGTATAATTGCGTAGGATATTGTCATAATGTCTCAAGTTCAAATTGTATATCGTTGATAAAGAAACGGTTCTCAAACTGTTTTGACTACGGAACCCTTATGGAAAGCTAGAATTTGTAATTCTTTTTTCCCGTCATTAAATTTGCATGCTATTATAACTTTTTATAAATAAGTAATATTACACTAAAGAGAGATTTTTCTCTAGAACCTTGTGCAGCTTGAGTATTTTTTTTTCATCGGTACCTGCGTGGACCCCCAAAAAGAGCTTGATGGTTCCACTGAACACACTTTGGGAAACGCTGTTTTAGACTGTTCTATAGTTTATAACTAATATCGATATCGACAATTTAAATATGACAACTCTAAATAGATACAGATGAGCCGTGTCACTCATGCAATGACGTCTTAACCACTTAATAATACGAATTAAAATTCTTATGTTAGAATTACTGCTTGTAATATAAATGGCTAAAGATATTGACAGAATAGTTGAAGATAATTTAAAGAATTTTCAAACTTAAAAACATTGTTTTTAAGTTTGAAAATAACTACTAAAATTACACGAACGACAACAACCCTTAACCCCCAGGATATAAGATAACAGATTTGGCGTGGTCCTAACAAATCTCTCACCTCTTCGACGTTCCAAATACTAAAGTTGAGTACAGTATTGACTTGTAACAGAACAACTAGACGCTCTTTGTTCTAGTGCAGTCTTTCCCAAAATGGGCGATAACGACCCCTTGGGGGCGCTGCAGGTCTAAAGTTGCGGGGTATAATAAAAGTTTCGTTTAGAATTGTCCGTTATACAATAATTAATTAATTTAATTTGAAGTTATAGTGGTTTTTAAATATGTGAAAATCTGGGATATCTGAGAAGAAATTCAAAGATATGTGTGAAGTCAGCCAACGCACTTGGCCAGTGTGGTTGACTATGGCCTAATCACCCTTAACTTAGAGTAGGCTCCGAGACCCTCGGTGGGGACGTATAGGGAGCTGATGATGATGAAATGCTTAAACAAACTTACTGGTTTTGTATCTATCAGCCAAAATTATATTAACCAAATATATACGAATAATACATACCTTCGTGTTAATATCGCGTGTTATTATAGATCATTTATACAAGTAGTATCGCAAGGTGGTTATTAACGTTCCATGTGGTCAGTTACACGTTGCGACAAGTGAAAGTGACACGCGAATTCAACCTGCTAAAACATGATATCCGGTGTCCTCAACAGGAGCGGAATTACAACACTTAAAGAGTTACAACTCTTTTTAAAGACAAGTTAAAAGTAAGGTCACTAATAACGTACGTTGCTATTGCTAAATTAAAACATCTCTGTTCTTGTAAAAAGAATAACCATAAGTTTTTCAAAACCTGAATAAAAACACAGTAAAATCCTATGGTTATATTCAATTTTGTACATAAGAGGAAATTTGCCTTTTTTCTTCTTAATTGGTTTTAAGCTATCATTTTCGACACCCTGCATAATTATACTAACTCTCGTGTTAGTTAAACCTTTCTATTCCAGTAAGCTAACAATAAATATCCTTGAATATTAAAATTTATCAGTGTAAATAATTAATTTATCAATCGTTTTACTTGTAAAGACATTCCATAGTTCATATTTCAACAAGGTCGTCCTGTTACCAGAACAAACCATAAAATAATTGGCTATTTAACAGTAAATTAAACTTTATAATAAGCCGTACAGTTATCTTCGGTTGTAAAGTCTGTAATAACATTAATGCGTGCAGCGAAATAATTACAATCTAGACTTAGTTTGACGAATAATTAAGTAGAACCCACGAAGTTTCATTGACGCTTAAATAATTAAGTGGAAAATTATAGTTTGTCCAATAAATGTTGACAGTTAAAAAAACCTTTTAAATGTGATCAGAGAAATCAAGGATAATATGTATACTAAATAATGTATCTTATTTAAATTGTAACAATTACTTATCTCCTGCTGTAACGGACTTTTTTAACGGACACGTTTTGTCTCATCTATCCCTAAAGCAGTAAATTTGACCTTGAGTACTGCCATTGTATGCTGGCTTATTTATGTAATTTCTTCTACACTTTATTCCTACACTAAGTGAATGTGAAACTATCCTTAGTGTTATTACCTGTAGACAGGGGCAGAAGGGCCAGCGACGGCGCAGGGCGTGGGGCATTTTTTTGCGGGGCGCGGTGTCCTGGTCGGCGGCCGGATCGCCGCACGCCCACCGCACTAGGCGCGCGCGCGCCGCCTCCGCCGCCTCCACGCTGCGCGACCACGACGGTACACCCTGCCGGACAAAAAAACAAAATAAATGAATACCTTAATGCCACATTTAGGTTTAGAGCCTACCCTAAGTTATAGGGTAGGATATAACGTTAAAACTAGATCAATACCTCAGAAAATACAGTAAGTGAATCTTTTAATGCCAAGTTTCGTGTTAACATGTACCATCTTATTAATCGACTTTCTTATAATAACAAATTACACATATATGTAATTATGACATTGTAGCAGAAAAGTTCTTTTGATTCATCTTTGAAGAAAAATTAATACTAATAAGTTATTTTCCATAACATTTTATAATAAAAAATTACGACGAAATGAAGACAAACATAATAAACTTTTTTTAATGGAATCGAACACAGGAAATCTATATCAAAACTGTACGCACAGCATACGGTTCTATTTCTGATGAAAACACAAATAAAAGGTGCAACAACCTCGTCCATTGCTGGTAGTCTTCTCACGCACCATTGTGCAACGTACACATTATCACCTGGTGTAGTAACTCTTACAAACACATTCTTATATATTGCAAACAAGATTCTCATAGTGTATTAACTACAAAATCTGCACTGTAACATATTTATTTAAAACACTAAATGTCACCAGCGACTAATTATAAAAAAAAAACTTTATTAGTAACCTATGTATTCTCCCAGAGTATGTTCTACATCCAAGTTAAATTTCAGCGAGATCTATGCCGCCGTTCTTGAGATATCTTCAAACAAACATCCATCCATTCAAACATTCGCATTTATAATATTATAGTTAGTTAGATTATTTTTTCCTTTCATTCTATTTGAAAAAATGTTGTCTTCCTGCAATTAAAATTAAGACTAGTCATTAAGCTAGATTCAATACAACGGTAAAATCAAATTTTACATTTTTAATGGTGGATTATTATAAAAAAAACTATATGCCTATTCCGGCTCTGTTCACAAAAACCCGATGTGGATGGTCGGACAAGAATGAACAGTGATCGACTTACCGGTAACACTGACGTAACACGTAACAGGAAGTGACAGGCATAAGGTTCTAATCACGTTTGACGACTTGTTTTTATAACGTGTACATTGATGAGAAACGCACGACTTCGCCGTTCCGTCATTACGCTTTACACTATGTTATCAATGTGTTGTTGTAAAAAAGTTATCAATGACGGCATACTAAGTTCTACATTCTGTGTAATATAAATTTTCTCTTTAAAAAACACAATTTTTTTTATATATTATAAGGCGGCAAACGAGCGAGCGGCCACCTGAAATCGCTGGAATAGCGAAGTGATCGTTGCCCGTAGACATACGCAAATGCATATGCGTTGCCTACCTTTAATCGGCGAAGGATGGGATGCACAGAAAAAAAATCCCTTCCCATGCATCCTGTCATCCGGAAAGAACTGTGGTAAACGCCAGCACAATAACATCTGCTGTACGAATTGGTCGGCTCTCGAGGCAATACCAGGACCACAGAGAAGAAAGGCATGAAAAGAAGTGATTCTACATTTCATCTGATGAGTGTGGGTGCCAGTGGCTTCCTCTTATCCTTCGCACTCTTTCCTTATTAGGATGGGAAATAGATTTGACGGAGGAGGAAACGCATGGGAAGGAGAAATATTCTCCTCTGTTGATTGGTTTGTTTGGGCTCATTATTTATATAAAATCAAAGTCTCTGTATTGCCTACCAACGCGAATCAGACACAAAATCGTATGTTAAGTTCGCAAACTGCACGCAAATCGTTTAGCAAATTATGATTACCAATAATAGTTCCTATTTGTATGTTTACACAACAACGATTGAACATAATATGCGTGAGTCATTATTAAACGGCTTTCATTAACAATAATCATAGACATGCTTTCTATTAATGATACGTTTATGTATTGACCGGAAGTTATCGTTTACATCGTATTATATGTAGTGTGAAGTGGCCCTAAGCTGTTATAAAGTTGTTAAAATAAAATTGACTCTGATATATTATTACAGAATACTAGTAACTGTGGCCGCCGACTTCGTCCACGCGGAATTAAAAAATAACTGGCCTATATGTTCTTCCAGATGTTTTACATCTATGCGAAATTTCTTCAAGATCCATTGGGCCTTTCTTAGCTCATAACAAATTTACTTCAGTGATAGTTGACGCAATGTTAACCTTTATCTAAATCAAGGTACACCTCGTTGACAGTGACTTTGTATCGAGTCTAATCTCAACAATGAGGTGTAGAAAAATGCACGCCTACTAAATAATAAATCGTTCACGGTTCAAGTTTCAAAACCATTCTCATACTTGAAGGTATTGTTCCAATGAACTTTAATGTCGGCATTTAGTGAACTGTTGCAACTCGGATATAGACAGTACATTACTGGATTGGATTTAATGGAATAAAATAACATAAATGAACATCGCATCCGAAGCAAATAATTATATGGAAAGATATGCATGTGTATGCTATTAGGGAAGACGGATCTCTATTAGTAGATTGAAAGTAATAAGGACTTCAGACTTCCGTTAATACTTCTTGATCTTTAATTAGTAGTACTACTAATCTTACTAATAAATGCCAAAGTGTATTAGTAAGTGACGATGGACGATGTTCTACATGTGTGCCAAATTTTAAAGTGATCCGTGGAGTTGTACCGGAGATACCTTCTAACAAATATCCTGCTACCATAACATAGTCTGGAAGAACACATAGGCTACTTATAAAGTTTTTTTTTAAATGCCTTTTACGTAATATAAATTGATAATATAAAAAAAGAGTTTCCTTAAAACATTCGCGTAATGAGTTTTTTATTTTGCAAATAAGTTATCGTTCCCGACAAAAACTTAAAGCAATGGTGTACCTATTCGGATACGATGTGAACGGAACACGATCCTACATTACCAACCTTCCCACCTGTTTACTTCCAATAGGTGAATTGACTTTAAATATTGCCACTAACATTATCGTAGAAACAATACAGCTATAAAATTAAAATTAAAATTGCAATATTACTAATATTATAACTGCAAAAGTTTGGATGTATTGATGGATAGATGTTTGTTAGAAGTTAGCTCCAGAACGGCTGCATAATTCTCGCTGAATTTTGGCATATAACATGGTCTGGAAGAACACGTAGCCTACTAATTAAGTTTTTTTAATTCCGCGCAGTATATAGTAGAGGATATAAAAGAAAGAAAGTAAACAATATGAAGCAAATTCGATAAAACGCCTGAAAACTAACAATGAATAGCCGAGGTACTTTCTTGTGACCGTGACCGGCAGTATGTCAGGGGGACACAGGGTCACGCAGCGCGCGCGCCGCATCCATGATGAGCGGTGCTGGTGAAAGTGAAACATGAGTGGTGTACTGTTGAGACCGCGGAACATACATTGTTTAAGGAAGTATCGAAAATTTTATCTAGCCCTTATAGCTGTTGCCCGCGACTCCGTCCGAGCGGAATTAAAAACTTAATTAGTAGCCAATGCGTTCTTCCAGATGTTCTACATATATTCGGGATCTATGCAGTGATTCTGGATATACCTTCTAACAAACATCCATCCGTTCAAGCATTCGCATTTATAATATACTAGCAGTCGCCCGCGACTCCGTTCACGCGTTATTAAAAAAAACTTAATTGGTAGCCTGTGTATTCTTTGATATATGCCAAAATTCAGCAAGATCCATACAGTTACTATGAAGATACGTTTTAACAAACATCCATCCATCCAAGAATTCGCATTTATAATACTAGTAAGATGTATAAAACGAAATAACACGGTAAACAAGATAACGCAACAATAAGGAACCACCAGCGTTGAAAATTAAATTAAATTTTTCGTAAGAGATTAAAGTCATTAAAGCCACAATAAAACAAATTTTGTTTTAATTTGATCAATTTAGATTCCAATGATTGCATCCTTGACATTATAGCAAGTTATATAAGCGCGGGTTACATATGTATTTATGGCGATATATTTTAGCACAAGCAATATCTTATATATAAAATTCTCGTGTCACAATTTTCGTTTCCATACTCCTCCGAAACGGCTTGACCCATTCTCATGAAATTTTGTGAACATATTGAGTCTGAGGTCTGAGAATCGGCCAACATCTATTTTTAATCGACGGACTGAGTCGCGGGCGACAGCTAGTAAATAAAATTATCAATATATCTTCTTATCTTACTAATATTACAAATACCAAAGTATAGATGGATGGATATTTGTTACACTGTATCTACAGAACGTTTTCATGGATATCGCTGAAATTTAGCATAGATGTAGAACATAATCTGGAAGAACACATTGCATACTAATTAAGTAATTAAGTTTTTTTGAGTGCAGGCGAACAGGTAGCATATGTGTAAATGTGTTAAAAATATTTCTGAAATTTTGTAATTTTTCTTGTAAATTGAATGTGTGTGTCTACGCAATAAATAAACTATTAATTATTATTATTATTATACCATATACACATTTATTTATCATATTTTTAATATAGTACATTTCATATATATATTGAGCGTCGGTGGCTCAGGGGTCAAGCACTTGACTTGCAATCTGCAGGTCCTAGGTTCGAATCCCGCCATGTACCAATGTGTTTTTCGATTTCCGATTTACATATGTACATTTATCCGACGTTATTACGGTGAAGGAAAACATCGTGATGCAACCTGCACATATCTGAGAAGAAATTCAAAGACATGTGTGAAGTCAACCAACCCGCACTTGGCCAGCGTGGTTGACTATGGCCTAATCACCCTTAACTTAGGGTAGGCTCCGAGCCCCTCGGTGGGGACGTACAGTGAGCTGATGATGATGACATTTCATATAAAAAAAAACAAAACATATTATAATATTTTAAAAACAGAACACCACCGACTGCGGAATCCCATGACTTAAACAACCAGTGATCAGGGCTGCAGAGACAGGAGCCTTCTCACGATGCGCGCGGTTACTAGGATAACTGCCTTTTGTATCGGGCCCTTAATCCAACTGTTTAGCGTTCTTGAGATATTGGTCG